TGGGGTATAGGATGGAATGGTACATTGGCGGATTGGGGGGGGGTGTTGGATGGAATGGTCTACATTGGGGATGGGGGGTAAAAGGATGGAATGGTAACATTGGGGTGGGGGGTATAGGATGGAATGGTACATTTGGGGGATGGGGGGTATACGGATGGATGGTACTTTGATGCGTGGGGGGTTAAGGAATGTATGGGTACATTGGGGATGGGTGGGGTATACGGATGAATGGTTACATTGATGGGATGGGGGGGTATAGGATGGAAATTGTACATTTGGGCATGGGGGGTATTTTGATGGAATGGTACATTGGGGATATTGGGGGGTTTTGGATGGAATGGTACATGGGCATGGGGGGTGTTGGATTGGAATGGTACATGGGGATAAAGGGGTGGAAAGGAACATTGGGGGCGGAGGAATGGAATTGTACATTGGGGATGGGGGGTATAAGGATGGAATGGTACATTAGTGGGGGGGTATAGGATGAATGGTACATTGGGGACGGGGGGTATAAGGATGGAATGTGTACATGGGGATGGGGGGGTATAGGATGAATGGTACATTGGGGATGGGGGTATATAGGATGGAATGGTAACATGGGGATGGAGTATAGGATGGAATGGTACATTGTGGGATGGGGGGTGGCTATAGGATGGAATGGTACATTGGGGATGGGGGATATAGATGGACAGGTACATTGGGGATGGGGGGGTAAAGGATGGAATGGTACATTGGGGATAGGGGGGTGTGATAATGGAATGTAAAGTACATTGGGGGATGGGGGGTAAAGGATTGGAATGGTTAACATTGGGGATAGGGGGGTAAAGATTGGAATGGTACATTGGGGAATGGGGGGGTTATAGGTTGGAATGGTACAAGATGGGGGGGTATAGGATGGCATGGTACATTGGGGATGGGGTGGTATTGGATGGAATGGTACATTGGGGAATGGGGGTTTATAGGACTGGAATGGTAATTTGGGGTGATGGGGGGTGTTGGATGGAATGGTACCATTGGGGATGGAGGGTGTTGGGATGGTACATTGGGGATGGTGGGTGTTGGTGGAATGGAATGGTACATTGGGTTTTGGGGGGTATACTAGGATGGAATGGTAACAGTGGGATGGACCGGGGGGTCCATACCTTGGAATCGGTTACCCCTCATTGGGGTGGGGGGTTCATCAGGCTGGATATGGAACATTGAGGTGGATGGGGGCTACCCCACTATAGTGATGGAATTCTGGTATTACTCTTCCATTGGTACGTGGGGTATTTGATGGTAATGGTTAATCTGTGGATGGTTGGAGTGCTCCCCTACAGGATGGACTCTCCAGTACCATGATATCTCAGATATTATCCCCATGGATCCATCATCTAGGTACAGCCCTTCCACTTGAGGATGTTCTGGTGGTGGTCATGTGTTCCTATAAGGGTGTTGCCATTGGATATGTAACTCTTATATCAGCCAATCCTGACATTTGTGTAATGCTCCGCCTCCTCACATGGCTGCACGGGGGAGCATATACACCCATGATTAATTCAGTGCTACAGGGAAGGGGCTGGCGGCTGTGTAGGATTTCAATGTATGACATGGCGGCCTCCCTCCAAACCACCGATATATATCCATGTGGATACACCAGGGCCTGGAAATGGACAAGGTGGGGCGTGTTAGGGGAGCTGCCTCTGTAATCATCTTCACTCCTGAACATGGGCAAAAAACAACCCCATGGAGTGATCACCCCAAATTTTATGTACACGATGGTGAGGGGTGCAAGGACCCAGAGGACTAACCCCCCCCCATCCATCCTCTATTGTCCCCAATTACCCCCCGTCCCTCTATTATACCCCGATCCCCCCTCCGTCCCTCTATTATACCCAAATCCCCCTCCGTCCCTCTATTTATACCCCGATCCCCCCCTCCGTCCCTCTATTATACCCCCATCCCCCCCTCCGTCCCTCTATTATACCCCGATCCCCCCTCCGTCCCTCTATTATACCCCGATCCCCCCTCCGTCCCTCTATTACACCCCCATCCCCCCTCCGTCCCTCTATTACCCCCGATCCCCCCTCCGTCCCTCTATTACACCCCGATCCCCCCTCCGTCCCTCTATTATACCCAATCCCCCCTCCGTCCCTCTATTATACCCCGATCCCCCCCTCCGTCCCTCTATTTATACCCCCCATCCCCCCCTCCGTCCCTCTATTATACCCCCATCCCCCCTCCGTCCCTCTATTATACCCCATCCCCCCTCCGTCCCCTCTATTACACCCCGAATGCCCCCCTCCGTCCTCTATTATACCCCGATCCCCCCCTCCGTCCCTCTATTCATACCCCCAGTCCCCCCCTCCCCCCTCTATCATACCCCCATCCCCCCTCTCCCTCTATTATACCCCGATCCCCCCTCCGTCCCTCATTATACCCCCATCCCCCCTACGTCCCTCTATTATACCCCCATCCCCCCCTCCGATCCCTCCCCCCATCCCCCCTCCGTCCCTCTATTAATACCCCAATCCCCCCCACCCCGCCCTCTATTATCCCCCCCAATCCCCCCTCTCCGTCCCTCTATTATACCCCAATATCCCTCCGCCCCTCTATTATACCCCCATCCCCCCTCCGTCCCTCTATCATACCCCCCATCCCCCCTCTGTCCCTCTATTATACCCCGATCCCCCCTCCGTCCCTCTATTATACACCCCCCATCCCCCCTCCGTCCCTCTATTATACCCCCATCCCCCCTCCGTCCCTCTATTATACCCCGATACCCCTCCGCCCTCTATTATACCCCCATCCCCCCTCCGTCCCTCTATTATACCCCACATCCCCCCTCCGTCCCTCTATTATACCCCGATCCCCCCTCCGTCCCTCTATTATACCCCCATCCCCCCTCCGTCCCTCTATTATACCCCCATCCCCCCTCCGTCCCTCTATTATACCCCCATCCCCCCTCCGTCCCTCTATTATATACCCCCCCATCCCCCCTCCGTCCCTCTATTATACCCCCATCCCCCCCGTCCTCTATTATACTATACCCCGATCCCTCCGTATCTATTATACCCCCATCCCCCCTCCGTCCCTCTATTATACCCCGATCCCCCCTCCGTCCCTCTATTATACCCCGATCCCCCCTCCGTCCCTCTATTATACCCCAATCCCCCCCTCCGTTCCTCTATTATACCCCCATCCCCCCTCCGTCCCTCTATTATATCCCCCAATTATCCCCCCATCTCCGTCCCTCTATTATACCCCCATCCCCCCTCCGTCCCTCTATTATACCCCCATCCCCCCCTCCGTCCCTCTATTATACCCCCATCCCCCCTCCGTCCCTCTATTATACCCCCATCCCCCCTCCGTCCCTCTATTATACCCCATCCCCCCTCCGTCCCTCTATTATACCCCAATCCCCCCTCCGTCCCTCTATTATACCCCCCATCCCCCCTCCGTCCCTCTATTATACCCCATCATCCCCCCTCCGTCCCTCCCTCTATTATACCCCCCCCGATCCCCCCTCCGTCCCTCTATTATACCCCGATCCCCCCTCCGTCCCTCTATTATACCCCCCCTCCGTCCCCTCTATCCCCCCTCCCCACTCCCTCTATTATACCCCCCATCCCCCTCCGTCCCTCTATTATACCCCCATCCCCCCCGTCCGTCCCTCTATATACCCCCATCCCCCCTCCGTCCCTCTATTATACCCCGATCCCCCCTCCGTCCCTCTATTATACCCCCGATCCCCCCTCCGTCCCTCTATTATACCCCCATCCCCCCTCCGTCCCTCTATTATAATCACCCCCCTCCGTCCCTCTATTACCCCCAGTGGTAGACCATGCCCTCTATTGGTACCCAGGAACAGTCCATCTATTATACCCCGATTCCCCCCTACCCAGTCCCTCATTAGGACCCCCATCCACACCCCTCCGTCCCTCATTAAACCCCAAAACCCCCCGTCGTTGTCTATTATACCCCCACCCTCCTCCGTCCCTCTATTATACCCCTGGGCCCCCTCCACCCTCTTGGCTCGATCCCCCCTCAGCCTCTATTGGGCTCCTCCCCCCTCTTCTATAATACCCCCCCCACTCCACCTTATAACCCCGATCCCCCCTCCGTCCCTCTATTATACCCCCATCCCCCCTCCGTCCCTCACACCCCTTCCCCCCCCTAGTTTATCAGCTGGTATTGGCCCTGGTAGAGACCATGCATGAGATGTGGTCACTCAGGAACAGTCCACACCTACTCTTACCCAGTACAGTGCAGGAGAGCTTTCCACAAGTCAGGGCAGAAAACAAACACCTCTGTTGTCTGAGCTCCTCCACACCTCTGGGCTCCTCCACACCTCTGGGCTCCTCCACACCTCTTGGCTCCCCCACAGCTCTGGGCTCCTCCACACCTCTTGGCTCCCCCACACCTTTGGGCTCCTCCACATCTCTTGGCTCCCCCACACCTCTTGGCTCCCCCACACCCCTTGGCTCCCCCATACCTCTGGGCTCCCCTACACCTTTGGGCCCCTCCACACCTCTTGGCTCCCCTACACCTCTGGGCTCCTCCACACCTCTGGGCTCCTCTACAGCTCTGGGCTCCTCCACACCTCTTGGCTCCCCCACACCCCTTGGCTCCCCCACACCTCTGGGCTCCTCCACACCTCTGGGCTCCTCCACATCTCTTGGTTCCCCCACACCTCTTGGTTCCCCCACACCTCTTGGCTCCCCCACACCTGGGCTCCTCCACACCTCTTGGCTCCCCCACACCTCTGATCTCCTCCACACCTCTGGGTTCCAGGACCCAGAACAGAATGTATTCAAATCTGAGAAAAGCCCATGTGTGAGAAGGTGACATATATACACCCGTCCAGCACCCCGCCAGCCAATGCCTCACTCTATATAGTTTTGTCTAGAGGGATGGGATTGCTGATATTCCTCCCGTCGGCCATGTTTGTAGTTTTTGTGGAATGGTGTGAGTTGGCGAAGATGAATTCTGATTGGCTGAAATTAGTTCGTTGCCAAATACCCCCCATTGTGTCTTTTAGCAGCCAAACCAACGGAACTCAGAACCAGAAATGTCTGCGGGTCAGGAACTGGGAGAACCGGACGCTGGCATACGACACGCTGAACGTCCAGGCGGAGCAGGTAAGACCGGCTTTTCTCAGAGGATGGACGGGCCAACTACAGCACCATACCCTGTGTTCTTCATTGGGGACACAGCCGTCCCCCACAATCTGACCCGAGATGTAGAACCATAGAAATCTCCAGACTTTTCCAGGGACAGCTCTGGGAAAACCCAGGACTGTCCCTTGGAGATTTACTAAAAAAACTCAACGAGAGAGGTATTGGCCCCTCAGGAGCACATGAGATCCCAGCATCATCATTCACTACATTGGCTGGCTATGGTCACATGACATCATCACATTGCCAGTGTAGCTCTCACCCCCTAAAGGGCCCACTCTTCAGGTCCCAAGGTCCTTTCCCCAGTCGATGCTCCAGCAGCCAGGTGCACAGTCACTTTTCAGGCTCAGTATACAGTCTAGGGGTGTCTTTTTGATGCCTCATTACAACTTGGATGGGTGCGGGGGGTCACTGCGGGGTACTGGGCTGAGCTGCACAGGGACCCCTTAGGAAGTGTCCACTCTTCAAGCACAGGCTGACTCTGATGCAAAAGGGATAACAGCAGCACACACAGTCCCTGTGTTCTCACACCCCGGTCTGATGTCCTTGGGAAATGGCATCCCTCTTTCCAATATACGCCAGACATATCTCCTGTGAATTCTCCAGACCAGATCCCACAAAGGAAATCCGCCTGAAAAAATCAATCAGCGGAATAGGCCCCCTAGCCAGCACATCTAGGACCCCCCGATGAGCAATGAAGAAGTGAAGCTGCTCTGCCCTTCAGGCTAGGATCTTCTCCTCCTGGGCTAAAACCCTTCTGCTCCAGGCCTCAAGCTATTTTTGCACTCCCTAGCCACCTACTGGCCACTCTTCCCCGGTGATTGGCTTGAACCACATAACTATTCAGGCCGCTTTTGACTCTCCCAGCCCACTACTTTCTAGAATCCTCCACATGGCAGGTGGAAGCAGGCAAACCTACAGCCAGTGAGATACAGAACAGCCCAGAATAATCAAAAGCTGCTCAACTGATCACAGTAGAGCTAAATGTAACGGAACCGACCCAGACTGCGCTTGAGCACTTCCGTTAGACTCCCGCTTCCCCGTCCGAACACGGATCCACAGACACCACCGCTGACCATACAAGAATAGAGGACACCAGTCTTGAAGTAAACCAGGAGGTAGACTAGTTTATTTGAACACAGATACAAGATATATACACTCAGGGGACAACCCCCCCCCCTCCCTGCATAATGACACAGGGCGGGGCAATCCCCCCTCCCTACATAATGACACAGGGCGGGGCAATCCCCCCTCCCTGCATAATGACACAGGGCGGGGCAATCTACATTTAGTAACAAGAGACACACCAGCAGACAGTCCCATCAGGAGGGAGAGCTGCTGGAGACACCCCCTACCAAGCCAATACACATAAACACATACATCCAGGGGCGGACTGACCATTTGGAAACTCGGGCACTGCCCTGAGGGCCCGGGGTCAGTAGTTAAAATGGTCTTAAAGCTCCGCAAATGCCTCGCAAACCGCGTCGCAAACGCCTGCCAGGCGTTTGTGGAGTGGCACCATAGACTTGAATGGGAGCCTTCAACTCCTCCTGACTCGACACAAGCAGGGACGGACTGACCATTTGGAAACTCGGGCACTGCCCGAGAGCCCGGGGTCAGTAAGGGGCCCCATGAGATGCCTGGTACCTTTTTCATAGGCTTTTTTGAGTTTGGGCAAGGACACAGGGGCCCGATGATCCCCTATTGCCCCAGGGGCCCCATGAGTTGTCAGTCCACCCCTGCATACATCCCATAATAGTTTGCTCCCAAGCAAAACACACAATAGAACAATGGGATACAACCACATGACATTAAACAATCCACAACCCCCCCCCCACCCCCCCAAATTAGGACAGATCACCCTGTACCCCTAACAGGCACAGGGGACTTACACATAAGGGGGATATGGGGAGCTGAGACAGGGGTCTCCCCACCTTTCCAAAGGGGCTGTGTTCTATGGGCCCCCCACCCAAAGTGAGCTGTGTTCCATGGGCCCCCCACCCAAAGTCACTCCCGTCCAGGGATGGACTGACAACTCATGGGACCCCGGGCAATAGGGATCATGGGGCCCCTGTGTCCTTGCCCAAACTCAAAAAAAGCCTATGAAAAAGGTACCAGGCATCTCATGGGGCCCCTTACTGACCCCGGGCCCTCGGGCAGTGCCCGAGTTTCCAAATGGTCAGTCCGCCCCTGCTCCCGTCACACTAAAGAACCAAATTTACCAAGCCTAACTAGGAGGGTGCTACTCCAGCTTTTCCTACGTGGACTATGTTGAAGATGACATTTTGGATTTGTAATCCGTTTCTTATAGGATGTGGCCTGTACCAGAGCCCGATGTCTGGGCTCCAACATGTTTCCATCTCAGATGATGTGTCCTCATGCACAAGAACCAAAAAGTCCAGAAGAGATTCTTCCCAAGGCCAAAGACTTCATCAACCAGTACTACAGCTCCATCAAAAGGTGACTGCATGTTCCTTCTCCTCTCAGCTTTTTGGACTTTAGAAGTTATTTCAGCTTTGGGTAGATGTTAGAAGAAACCATTGCTGACCTCTAGTGATCAGCATCTACAGCATCAGCGAGACTAGACAGCATAGGTACCTTCATGCTTGGGATCTACCACCAATGTCCACCTAAACGTACAACTTTTTTCAGTGGCCTAGCAGGACATGAGCAGTGCACATGGCTGGGTAACATGGAGGACATGTCAACATCACGTGAACATTCATGTGTTCTTCAGCCATGTCTTCATATAATCAGTATCCGAATAGGTAAATCTTCCCTTCTGAGCACTGTGTGTGGCCTTGTCTGTGGCCATTGGCTGTTTTTATAGGCTATTAACTATTCGGTAGATCTTCTTCATGGCGACAGAATAAGAAATATAAGTTGTGAGAAAATGTAGACAATAGAAACCCACCGACTCCCATTATGTCACTTTTCGTAAATTGGCTTTTTGGACTACAGCAGAAGGAGTGAGAATCTGTGGAATTGGTATTGTATTAGTGGATTTCTCCGTAGACAAGACTGGGGGTGATTCATCTGATCAGTTTCTGTAAAGAATTGACGTTGATGGACTAGATTGTAGATACAACATCATCTATATCTGGTCAGTAGAATGTTTTCTCTTCAGGCTCACAATGCTGGCCCCGTGTTCTTCTTCCAGGGCCCAGTCCAAGGCACACATAGAGCGTCTAAAGGAGGTTGAGCAGGAGATAATGTCTACAGGAACCTACCAACTCAAGGAGACCGAGCTGATCTTTGGAGCCAAGCAAGCATGGAGGAACGCATCCCGATGTGTGGGCAGGATTCAGTGGTCAAAAACTCCAGGTGGGAAGAACACACAGGCTGAGGTTTAATCTTGAAGAACATTGATGGACTGAACCCTAGTCTGACTTCTGCCATCAGCAAATGTTTTGTGTCTGTCCATTAATATGGTGGTTTGTGTTCCTCCTCAGGTGTTTGATGCCCGAGATTGCCGGACCACCCATGAGATGTTCACCTACATCTGCAGCCACATGAAGTACGCCACCAACAAAGGCAACATCAGGTATGATGTCCACCTGTCTCCAACAAGAACCTACACACATTGTGACCCCATGTCCTCTTCATGGTCAAGTGCTTTGTCCATGGTGGACTTATCTCTAAATATGGGGGACATGGTTCTGTATAAGTAGATTCCACCACTTTTTCTATTACAGCATTTGATGTATAAATTCTGAGTGATTCCCCTCCCATTTTTACCTACTTTTTTTATTTTTATTGAAGAGAGGTCTGTTTATTGGGGCTTCTGTCCTCCTCAATCATCTCTCAATGTCTCATCGCTCTTCTTGTAGGTCAGCCATCACCATCTTCCCACAGAGAAAAGATGGAACCTCAGATTTCCGGATATGGAACAGTCAGCTGATCCGATACGCGGGGTACAGGCAGCAGGATGACACGGTGGTGGGGGATCCAAGCAACGTGGAGCTAACCGAGGTGGGATGTCTCATATCCTCTCTAGGTCTGGTCGTAGATGACTAAAGACAGGGCAATATCTGCTCTGCAATTACAGAACCCTCTTCAAGTTGCTCCGCACCATTCAGGTTCATATACCTCCTCACACCTTTTCTCCATATGGTGATCTCCTCCCACTCACCATAATAAGACATCTCTGAACATCTCCCACCACATTCTCCTATTACTACAACCTCTCCATGTGACCTTACCCACTAAGCCACCACTCCACATGTGACTATCATTCCTCACTGCTTACCATTTCCCACATCCCTCCATACTAATCCACCATCTTATGTTCTACCTTCTCTTGCTGTCTGTTGGGAGCCATCTTCAAGGGCCCGTCCAGTTCCCGTCATCAAGGGCCCGTCCAATTCCTATCATCAAAGGTCTCTCCAATTCCCGTCATCAAAGGTCCAGTCAGTTTCCATCATCAAGGACCCATTCAGTTTCCATCATCAAGGGCCTGGCCAGTTCCCATCATCAAGGGCCCGACCAGTTTCTATCATAAAGGGCCCAACCAGTTTCTAGCATCAAGGGCTGGGCCATTTTCCGTCATCAAGGGCCTGTCCAGTTCCCATCATCAAGGGCCTGGCCAGTTCCCGTCATCAAGGGCCTGGCCAGTTCCCGTCATCAAGGGCCTGGCCAGTTCCCGTCATCAAGGGCCTGGCCAGTTCCCGTCATCAAGGGCCCGGCCAATTTCTCGGCCAGTTTCCATCATCAAGGCCTAGGCCAGTTCCCATCATCAAGGGCCTGGCCAGTTCCCATCATCAAGGGCCTGGCCAGTTCCCATCATCAAGGGCCTGGCCAGTTCCCATCATCAAGGGCCTGGCCAGTTCTCATCATCAAGGGCCCGACCAGTTTCTAGCATCAAGGGCTGGGCCAGTTTCCGTCAACAAGGGCCTGTCCAGTTCCCATCAAGGGCCTGGCCAGTTCCCATCATCAAGGGCCCGTCCAGTTTCCTGTCCAGTTCCCATCATCAGGAGCCCGGCCAGTTTCCTACATCAAGGGCCCGTTCAGTTTTCACCATCAAGGGCCTGGACAGTTCCCTTCATCACATGGACCTGGACAGTTCCCAATTCATTGTGAACACACTGACCCCATGTGTCACCTTCCTTGAACTCCAGCCACTAATCTTCCATAATCCATCACTGTGCACCCTTCTGATGCCCCTTCACTGCTCTTTGCACCCCTCTGATGCCCTTCCACACACCTCCACTGCATTCCTAGTAGGAACGAATGATCTATGACCCATGACACACATGCCAGAATTCAAACCCCACTCAGTGCCAATCCAGCCTCCAGTGTGCCATGGAGAGATGATACCTTCACAAATGACCCTCCATGTTTGCTGTCCCATATTGTCATTCGTCCTCTGTAGGCACGGTGTGTTCCCATTCGGTCTGATCTTCTCATACACCCATCATTCCCTCTACAGCTCTGCGTTCAGCTCGGCTGGAAGCCGAAAGGAGGAAGATTCGATGTGTTACCTCTGCTGCTGCAAGCCAACGGGGACGACCCGAAACTCTTTGAGATTCCTCCAGAACTGATTCAGGAGGTGCCCCTTCGACACCCACAGTGAGTGCTAGGCCCCCAGTGTCTGTAACATGTTGGATTTCTGTGATGAATCCCTGGACTAACATTGGTTCATCTACCCCCCAGGTACGAATGGTTTGCAGAACTCGGATTGAAGTGGTACGCCTTACCCGCTGTCAGTAGCCTCCTCCTGGAGATCGGAGGTCTGGAATTCCCAGCAGTGCCATTCAATGGCTGGTATATGAGCACCGAGGTTGGGATGCGGAACCTGTGTGACTCCTCCCGATACAACATATCCGAGGTCAGGGGCCCCCCTACCATGGGGAATTCTCTGGGCCATTCTGAAGGGGGGATTCAATTCTCAGCAACAGCAGACCATAAGTAAAAATCAGTCTGTGAGCTGCTTCTGATTTCTAAGAGAGAAAGTGAGGAGGTCCTCTCTGTGTGCCTTTCATCTGAGATTTATATGTTCACTGCAGCTAGAATGAGCAGGCTTTTCACACTGCCTCCAGGTAGGAGCATAGATGTGCATCCGTGGGAATGTATCTAGTGGCAGAAGAATGCAAAGCTGAAATTAGGAGGCACTCCGCAGGTGGTGCTGGGGGGGGCGAATATTAATTACATATTGTACTCAGATGGGGGGGAGAGGATGAGTATTAGTTACATATTGTACTCAGATGGTTGGGGACGAATATTAGTTAGTGAGTCCACCCCTAAGTGACAAGGTCCAAATTGGGCCCAAAGTGTCAATATTTTGTGTGGCCGCCATTATTTTCCAGCATTGCCTTCACCCTCTTGGGCATGGAGGTCACCAGAGCTTCACAGGCTGCCGCTGGAGTCCTCTTCCCTCCTCCATGAGGTCATCACGGAGCTGGTGGATGTTAGAGACCTTGTGCTCCTCCTTCCGTTTGAGGACGCCCCACAGATGCTCAATAGGGTTTAGGTCTGGAGACACGCTTGGCCAGTCCATCACCTTCATCCTCAGCTTCTCAGCCAGGCAGTGGTGGTCTTGGAGGTGTGTTTGGGGTCGTTATGTTGGAATATCGCCCTGCGGCCCAGTCTCTGGGGAGGGGATCATGCTCTGCTTCAGTATGTCACAGTACATGTTGGCCTTCATGGTTCCCTCAATGAACTGTAGCCCCCCCAGTGCTGGCAGCACTCATGCAGCCCCAGACCATGACACACCCCCACCACCATGCAGCCCCAGACCATGACACTCCCACCACCATGCGGCCCCAGACCGTGACACCCCCACCACCATGCAGTCTCAAACCATGACACTCCCACCACCATGCAGCCCCAGACTATGAGAACCCCACCACCATGCAGCCCTAGACCATGACACCCCCACCGCCATGAGGCCCCAGACCATGACACTCCCACCACCACCATGCAGCCCCAGACCATGACACCCCCACCACCATGCAGCCCCAGACCGTGACACTCCCACCACCATGAGGCCCCAGACCATGACACCCCCACCACCATGCGGCCCCAGACCATGACACCCCCACCACCATGCGGCCCCAGACCATGACACCCCCACCACCATGCAGCCCCAGACCATGACACCCCCACCACCATGCGGCCCCAGACCGTGACACCCCCACCACCATGCGGCCCCAGACCGTGACACCCCCACCACCATGCGGCCCCAGACCATGACACTCCCCACCACCATGCGGCCCCAGACCATGACACTCCCACCACCATGGGGCCCCAGACCATGACACCCCCACCACCATGCAGCCCCAGACCGTGACACTCCCCACCACCATGTGGCCCCAGACCATGACACCCCCACCACCATGCAGCCCCAGACCATGACACTCCCTCCACCATGCAGCCCCAGACCGTGACACTCCCACCACCATGCGGCCCCAGACCGTGACACTCCCTCCCACCATGCAGCCCCAGACCGTGACACTCCCACCACCATGCGGCCCCAGACCATGACACCCCCACCACCATGCGGCCCAGACCATGACATTCCTACCACCATGCTTGACTGTAGGAAGACACATTTGTCTTTGTACTCCTTACCTGGTGCTGCCACACACGCCTGACACCATCCTGAACCCAATCAGCTGATGTTGGTGTCATCAGACCACAGGATGGTTCCAGTAACCCCATGTCCTTAGTCTGCTGGTCTTCAGCAAACTGTTTGCGGCTTTCTTGTCCATCATCTATAGAAGAGTCTTCCTTCTGGGACCACAGCCATGCAGACCAATGTGATGCAGTGTGCGGCGTATGGTCTGAGCACTGATAGGACGACCCCTCCCCCTACACCCTCTGCAGCAATGCTGGCCCCACTGACAGGCTGACCACCCCCCCATGCACCCCAGACACCCTCTGCAGCAATGCTGGCAGCACTCATACGTCTATTTCCCAAAAACCATGCAACCTCTGGATATGACGCTGAGACACGTGGACTCATCTCTTTTGGTGGACCATGGCGAGGCCTGCTCTGAGTGGAACCCGTCCTGTTACCCCGCTGTATGGTCTTGGTCACCCACCATGCTGCATCTCAGTTTCACCATGCGTCTTGGCCACCGTGCTGCAGCTCAGTTTCAGGGTCTCGGCAATCTTCTTATAGCCAGGCCAGGGGTCTGCAACCTTTAAGACATAAAGAGCCACTTGGACCCCATTCCGAGAGGGAAAAAAAGACTGGGAGCCGCAAAACCATTGCAACATTTAAAACAAATCCGACACTGCATATATTGCAAAAAGCGCTCTGGTCATGAAGGGGGTTTAAGGGCCCAGTAAGCAAAGGGTTAATCAGGGCCACAGTGTATCGTCATAATCACAATCATAGCCTTAGGTCAGTGGTGGGCCCACCTTTTTTTTTCAACTGAGCCAAATCTCGCCAAAACCACAATTGAAATTTATTTTGAGAGCCACATTTTTAAAACTGAAAATTCATCCCCCATATAGTAATTCATCATCCCCCCACCATATAGTAATTCATCCCCCATAGTAATTCATCCCCCATATAGTAATTCATCCCCCATAGTAATTCATCCCCCATATAGTAATTCATCCCCCCCATAGTAATTCATCCCCCACATAGTAATTCATCCCCCATAGTAATTCATCCCCCCTATAGTAATTCATCCCCCATAGTAATTCATCCCCCATATAGTAATTCATCCCCCATATAGTAATTCATCCCCCATAGTAATTCATCCCCCATATAGTAATTCATCCCCCATAGTAATTCATCCCCCATATAGTAATTCATCCCCCATATAGTAATTCATCCCCCATAGTAATTCATCCCCCATATAGTAATTCATCCCCCCACCATAGTAATTCATCCCCCCTATAGTAATTCATTCCCCATATTGTGTCAATTCACTTACCTTTGCTCCGCGCGTTCCTCTCGCCGTGTTCCCCGCACCGTTCCGGTCTTCAGGGCGGACTGTGAGAGGAGAGGAGTTCGTCACGCTGCCCCCGCCTACATCCTGACAGCCAATGTTTGCCACGCTCCGCGGGCCAGATTAAAAGGTCCGCCGGGCCGTAGTTTGCCCATTGCTGGGCTAGCTGCAGAGTCCTGACTTTTGGGGCGGCCGCCCGAGAGGAGGGAGGGGAGCGGGCGCCCGGCACACAGAAGAGCCGCATTAAAATGTTTAAATAGCAGCGGCTTGCCGACCACTGAGCTACGGCAACCCTATTGCCTGTCACCTGGTGGGCATCTGTGCTCCGGAGCCGCAGCAAAGGTGAAAAAGAGCCACAGCGGCTCTGGAGCCGCAGGTTGCCGACACCCGGCCTAGGCCATCTTTATGTAGAGCAACAATTCTTTTTTTTAGATCCTCAGAGAGTTCTTTGCCATGAGATGTCATGCAGAACTTCCAGTGACCAGTATGAGAGAGTGAGAGTGATGACACCAAATGTAACCCACCTGCTCCCCATTCACACCTGAGACCTTGTAACACTAACGAGTCACATGACACTGGGAAGGGAAAATGGCTCATTGGGCCCAATTTGGATCTTGTCACTTAGGGGGGGGGACTCACTTCTGGGGGATACTGTAGTCTATCACCTGTGTAATCCTCCCTCACCAGCACTGTGCTGTTTGCAGGAATTTCCTCTTCTGGGGATGGCTGTGGTATAGAATGTACCGATGGTGGATAACAAGTACCCGGAATGGGGCCCGGGACAAGGGGTGGGCAGGAGGGGCGGCTGCCCTGGGCGCCATGGTTTGTTGCAGGGATGGGGCGGCCTTGCTGAATTCCTAGTGGTGACATCACTACTCCTGTTAGCCCAGTGCTGAGAGCAGTGAGGAGAGAGCCTGGAGGAGGCGCAGGCTGAGCTCACTCGTCAGGAACGGAAAGAGGGGGGAGGGTCACAGTTCGGCATCTTTGTCCTGGGCGCTGGAAGACCTTTTCCTATTTTTATGTTTTTCATTTCATATAAGAAATATTCACTTTTTGGGGTTTTTATGGCCCTTTTAATGCCTTAAACATTTTCTGTGTTTGTAGGACGTGGCTAAACGCCTGGGCCTGGACACCAAGAAAACGTCATCGTTGTGGAAGGACCGGGCAGCTCTGGAGATAAACATCGCCGTCCTGCACAGCTACCAGGTACCATGATATCATGGCAGCCACGTGTGTGCTGACCGGGTCCCTGCCCGTGCCGGGTGACCCCCTCCCTGTGCTGACTGGGCCCCGGCCTGTGACTGGTGAGCCCTTCCCTATGCTGACTGGACCCCTTCTTGTGCCAACTGGGCCCCTCCCTATTCTGGCAGAGCCCTCCCTGTGCCGGCTGGGCCCCTCCCTGTGCCGGCTGTGTCCCTCCCTGTTCCGGCTGAGCCTCTCCCTGTGCTGGCTGTGTCCCTCCCTGTATCGACTGGGTCCCTCCCTGTGCTGGCTGAGCTCTCCCTCTTCCGGCTGGGCTCCTCCCTGTGCAGGCTGGGCACCTCCCTGTGTCGACTGGGTCCCTCCCTGTGCTGGCTGAGCTCTACCTGTTCCAGCTGGACACCTCTCTGTACCGGCTGAGCCTCTCTCTGTGCAGGCTGAGCCTCTCCCTGTGCAGGTTGGGCCCCTTTCTGTGCCGGCTGAGCCTCTCTCTGTGCAGGCTGGGCCCCTCCCTGTGCAGGCTGAGCTCTCCCTGTTCCAGCTGGGCTCCTCCCTGTGCAGGTTGGGCCCCTCTCTGTGCCGGCTGAGCCTCTCTCTATGCAGGCTGAGCCTCTCCCTGTCCCGGCTGAGCCTCTCCCTGTGCAGGTTGGGTCCCTCCCTGTGCCGGCCGAGCTCTCCCTGTGCAGGCTGGGCCCCTCCCTGTGCTGGCTGAGCCTCTCCTTGTGCCAGCTGAGCTCTCCCTGTGCCGGCTGAGCCTCTCTCTGTGCAGGCTGAGCCTCTCCCTGTGCCGGCTGAGCCTCTCCCTGTGCCGGTTGAGCTCTCCCTGTGCCGGCTGAGCCTCTCCCTGTGCCAGCTGAGCCTCTCCCTGTGCCGGCTTGGCCTCTCCCTGTGCCGGCTTGGCCTCTCCCTGTGCCGGCTGAGCTCTCCCTGTGCCGGCTGAGCCTCTCCCTGTGCAGGCTAGGCCCCTCCCTGTGCTGGCTGAGCCTCTCCCTGTGGCGGCTGAGCCTCTCCCTGTGCCGGGCCTGAGCTCTCCCTGTACCGGCTGAGACTCTCCCTGTGCCAGCTGACTCCTGATTTCCTGTAGTGATGGTAAAGGTCTACCTGCCCCCTGTCACTGGTGCACAAATGAAGGGAAGCATCATGGAGCCGACACATGGGGAGAATCATTCAGAATTACAGACATAGAGATTGAAGCTTTATTATGGTGAAGGAGAGATCCTCTGTCCCCAGAATTGGGGCTATGCCAGAAGATCGGTGTCTAGCTGCCCGGTACTCTGGGCCCATGTCATTGGGGGGGGGAGGGGGGGGGTTGTGTCAGAACCGCTTCCCATTAAGTCAATAGGATTGCTGAAGCAATTCCAAGCAGGTGGATGCAGCTCAGAAGGAGGTCAGCTGCAGGTCAGATCCATGTGTCACAATGAACTCTGCATGGTCTTCAAGTCTGAAGCGTGATGACGTAGAGCTCGATCGTTGACCTGTGTCAGGAAATAATCATTTAAATTCAATTCCTTCCATTTTTTACATGTGTACATGAGAGACACAATGACCATGGCAGTCAGGCCGATGCTACAGCACGGCTCCGCAGCCATCTCCAGGAAACAGTCAAAAGATCTGCTTGAGTTTGTCCATCTAAAGGTTCACATATCTCATAATCCTCAATCTGTCTCGTAGAATGATAAAGTCACCATTGTAGACCACCATGCCGCTACGGAGTCCTTCATGAAGCATCTGGAACATGAGACCCGCCTGCGAGGAGGCTGCCCAGCAGACTGGGTGTGTGGATTGTACCTCCAATGTCTGGCAGTCTGACTCCCGTATTCCACCAGGAGATGGTCAACTACCACCTGTCCCCGTCCTTTCTCTATCAGGTACCAAAGCACTGAGACAGCAGGGTCTGGTGTAGCTCTGGTGGAGGTTGGAGAATGCATTTTGGTGATCTAGCTCTAATAGACATCTACTACTCACTAAGTTCCTCTTCACTGAAAATAGAATTCATGTATGCAGTATGTTGGGCTCTTCTCCACGTTCCCTGTTCTCTCGTATCTCTGTGTTTTGTGTCTTCCTCCATATTTCACTGATTGTTGGGTCTTTCTCCATGTTTCCCACGCATTCAACTCTCTTGTTGGGTCTTCCTCCATGTTTCCCACGCATTCAACTCTCTTGTTGGTTGGGTCTTCCTCTTTTTCTCCTGTTCCCTCCTATCTCTGTGTGTTGTGACTTCCTCCTTGTCTTCTGTTGCTAATCACTATTTGGTGGATCTGTGTTTTTCATTTTCTTATATCTCTCTGTGTGTTGGGTCTTCCTCCATGTCTCCCTCTCTTTCAACTCTTGTTGGGTCTTCCTTCTTTTCTTCTGTTCACTCCTCTCTGTTGAGTCTTTCTTCATGTCTCCCTTTCTCCCATCTCTCTGTGTTGGATCTTTCTTTGTCCCCTATACCCTCAGCTTTCTATGAGTTGGATCTTCTTCTAGGTCCTCTATTCTCTTATGTCTCTGTGTTGTGTCTTCCTCCATCGTGAGGGGATTCCCTCATCCCTCTATGTGTTGGATCTTCCTGAGGGGATTCCCTCATCCCTCTATGTGTTGGATCTACCTCTAGGTCCTCCATTCTCTTTATGTCTCTGTGTTGTGCCTTCCTCCATGTCTTTCATTCCCTCATCCCTCTATGAGTTGGATCTTCCTCTAGGTCTTCCTCTCCCATCTCTCTGTGTTGGATCTTTCTTTGTCCCTTATACCCTCAGCTTTCTATGAGTTGGATCTTCCTCTAGGTCCTCAATTCTCTTATGTCTCTGTGTTGCGTCTTCCTCCATGTCTCTCATTCCCTCATCCTTCTATGTGCTGTATCTTCCTCCATGTCTCCCATTCTTTCACATCTCTATGTGTTCTGTATTCCTCCCTGTCTACTATTGCTAGTCTCTCTTTGTTAGCTTCGTGTTTGTCATTTTCTCTCTGTGTGTTGGGTCTTCCTCCATGTCTCCCACTCTTTCAACTCTCTTGTTGGGTCTTTTTCTGTTCGCTCCTCTCTGTTGAGTCTTTCTCCATGTTTCCCTTTCTCCCATCTCTCTGTGTTGGATCTTTCTTTGTCCCCTATACCCTTAGCTCTATGTGTTGGATCTTCCTCTAGGTCCATTCTCTTATGTCTCTGTGTTGCGTCTTCCTCCATGTCTCTCATTCCCTCATCCCTCTATATGTTGGATCTTCCTCTAGGTCCTCCATTCTCTTATGTCTCTGTGTTGTGTCTTCCTCCATGTCTCTCATCCCTCTATGAGTTGGATCTTCCTCTAGGTCTTCCATTCTCTTATGTCTCTGTGTTGCGTCTTCCTCCATGTCTCTCATTCCCTCATCCTTCTATGTGCTGGATCTTCCTCCATGTCTCCCATTCTTCACCTATGTGTTGTGTTTTTTCCCTGTCTACTGTTGCTAGTCTCTCTTTGTTAGCTCCATGTTTGTCATTTTCTTGACTTTGTTTTGGGTATATCTTCGTGTTTTCCTGTCCTCTTGTCTCTCTGTGTGTTGGGTCTTCCACCATGCCTCATGTACTCCCATCTCTCTGCAGGTTTTTTCTTTCTTTATGTCTCTCGTTCCCTCATTTTCTTTGTTGGATCATTTTTCCACGTCGCCAATTCTGTCATCTCTCCATGTGTTTTTTATCTTCCTCCATTTTTCTCTTTCTTTCATCTCTCCAAGTGTTGAGTCCTTTTTTTCTGTCTCCCATCTTCATTCTTGTCTTAATAAGTCTTCCTCCTTTCCAGGTCATCTGTTTTATGTCCTTCATTGTTTTTTGTGTTTTTCTCGTCCCTCATTTCTCCCATTTTCAGTCTATGTGTTTTTTCGTCCCTTTTTTCTCCCATTCCCTCATCTGTCTATGTGTTGGGTCGTCCCTCATTTCTCCCATTCCCTCATCTGTCTATGTGTTGGGTCTTCCCTCATTTCTCCCATTCCCTCATCTGTCTATGTGTTGGGTCGTCCCTCATTTCTCCCATTCCCTCATCAGTCTATGTGTTGGGTCGTCCCTCATTTCTCCCATTCCCTCATCTTCTATGTGTTGGGTCGTCCCTCATTTCTCCCATTTTTTCATCTGTCTATTTTTTTTTTTTTTCATGGTCGTCCCTCATCTTTTTTTCCCTCATCAGTCTATGTGTTGGGTCGTCCCTTATTTCTCCCATTCCCTCATCTGTCTATGTGTTGGGTCGTCCCTTTTCTCCCATTCCCTCATCTGTCTATGTGTTGGTCTTCCCTCATTTCTCCCATTCCCCCATCTGTCTATGTGTTGGGTCTTCCCTCATTTCTCCCATTCCCTCATCTGTCTATGTTTTGGGTCGTCCCTCATTTTTTCCCATTCCCTCATCTGTCTATGTGTTTTCGTCCCTCATTTCTCCCATTCCCTCATCTGTCTATGTGTTTGGGTCGTTCCCTCATTTCTTTTTTTTTCCCTCGTCTGTCTATGTGTTTTTTCGTTTTTTTTCATTTCTCCCATTCCCCCCTTCTGTCTATGTGTTGGGTCATCCCTCATTTCTCCCATTCCCTCATCTGTCTTTTTTTTTTTGTGTTGGGTCGTTTTTCATTTCTTTTTTTTTTCCCTCATCTGTCTATGTGTTTTTTTCTGTTTCCCTCATTTCTCCCATTTTTTCATCTGTCTATTGTTGGTCGTTTTTTTTTTTTTTCTCCCATTCCCTCATCTTCTGTGTTGGGTCATCCCTCATTTCTCCCATTCCCCCATCTGTCTATGTATTATCTGTTTTTCCATGTATTCCATTCTTCAATCAGTGTTGTTGGGGCTTCCTTTACATCTCTGATTGCCTCCTCTCTCTGTGTTGGATTATCCTCCATGTCTCCCATTTTCTCATATTGTGTTTTTTTTTCTTCCTGCATGTGTCCGTTCTCTGATCTCTCTGCATGTTGAGTTTTTCATCTGTCTCCCATTCTCTTATCTCTTTGTGTGTTGGGGCTTGCTTCATGTCTCCCGCTCTTTCTTCTTTCTATGTGTTGGGTCTTCTTTTTGTCTCCTGTTCTTTCTTCTTTCTATGTGTTGGGTCTTCTTCCATGTCTCCCCTTCTTTCTATGTTTTGGGTTTTCTTCCATGTCTCCTGTTCTTTCTTCTTTCTTGTGTTTGGATTTTCTTCCATGTCTTTCATTCTTTCTTCTTTCTATGTGTTGGGTTTTCTTCCAGGTCTCCCTTTCTTTCTTCTTTCTATGTGTTGGGTCTTCTTCCAGGTCTCCCTTTCTTTCTTCTTTCTATGTGTTGGGTCTTCTTCCATGTCTCCCATTCTTTCTTCTGTTTATGTGTTGGGTTTTCTTTCATGTCTCCCGTTCCTTCTTCTATGTGTTGGGTTTTCTTCCATGTCTCCCCTTCTTTCTTCTATGTGTTGGGTTTTTTTCCATGTCTCCTGTTCTTTTTTTCTTTCTATGTGTTTGGGTTTTTTTCCATGTCTCTCGTTCTTTATTCTTTCTATGTGTTGGGTTTTTCTTCCATGTCTCTCGTTCTTTATTCTTTCTATGTTTGGGTTTTCTTCCATGTCTCTCGTTTTTATTCTTTTTATGTTTTTTTTCTTCCATGTCTTCCGTTCTTTTTTTTTTTTTTATGTGTTGGGTTTTCTTCCATGTCTCCCCTTCTTTCTTTTTTTTATGTTTTTTTTTTTTCCATGTCTCCCCTTTTTCTTTGTTTTTTTTCATGTCTCCTGTTCTTTCTTCTTTCTATGTTTTGCTTTTCTTCCATGTCTTTCATTCTTTCTTCTTTCTATGTGTTGGGTTTTCTTCCAGGTCTCCCTTTCTTTCTTCTTTCTATGTGTTGGGTCTTCTTCCAGGTCTCCCTTTCTTTCTTCTTTCTATGTGTTGGGTTTTCTTTTTCCATGTCTCCCATTCTTTCTTCTGTTTATGTGTTGGGTTTTCTTTCATGTCTCCCGTTCCTTCTTCTATGTGTTTGGTTTTCTTCCATGTCTCCCCTTCTTTCTTCTATGTGTTGGGTTTTCTTTCCATGTCTCCTGTTCTTTCTTCTTTCTACGTGTTGGGTTTTCTTCCATGTCTCTCGTTCTTTATTCTTTCTATGTGTTGGGTTTTCTTCCATGTCTCTCGTTCTTTCTATGTGTTGGGTTTTCTTCCATGTCTTCCGTTCTTTTTTCTTTCTATGTGTTGGGTTTTTTTTTTCCATGTCTCTCGTTCTTTATTCTTTCTATGTGTTGGGTTTTTTTTTTCCATGTCTCCCATTTCTTTTTTCTTTCTATGTGTTGGGTTTTCTTCCATGTCTCCCGTTTTTCTTTCTTTCTATGTGTTTGGTCTTCTTCCATGTCTCCCTTTCTTTTTCTCTCTATGTGTTGGGTTTTCTTCCATGTCTCCCTTTCATTTTTCTTCTTTCTATGTGTTGGGTCTTCTTCCATGTCTCCTGTTCTCTCTTCTTTCTATGTGTTGGGTTTTCTTCCATGTCTTTCATTCTTTCTTCTTTCTATGTGTTGGGTCTTCTTTCAGGTCTCCCTTTCTTTTTTCTTTCTATGTGTTGGGTTTTCTTCCATGTCTCTCATTCTTTCTTCTTTCTATGTGTTGGGTCTTCTTCCATGTCTCCCGTTCTTTTTTCTTTCTGTGTGTTGGGTCTTCTTCCATGTCTCCCAATCTTTCTTCTTTCTATCTGCTGGGTCTTCTTCCATGTCTCCCGTTCTTTTTTTTTCTATGTGTTGGGTTTTCTTCCATGTCTCCTGTTCTTTCTTCTTTCTATGTTTTGGGTCTTCTTCCATGTCTCCTGTTCTTTCTTCTTTCTATGTGTTGGGTCTTCTTCCATGTCTCCTGTTCTATCTTCTTTCTATGTGTTGGGTCTTCTTCCA